CTCCAACCCACCTGCTTGCCCAGGTCTGGCTCAGTCTGTGACTCAGTAGTTCAGTGACACCTGTCCACTCAGTTCCACAGTCTTATTAATGAATAAATAAATCTCATTCCTCCTCCTCTTCTCTCTCTCTCTCCTCCCCCCTTTTATCTGTCTTGTCTGTCACCAAGCTTAACTATTTAACAGTTCTTTAGCCAGTTTTTCTGTCACTTAAGCTATGTCTATTCATTCATCTAGAATATCTCTCAGATGCCATTTAAAAGTCAGCTTACTGAGCCACCCTCAAAGCTAGGCTTGTTCCTTCCTAATTGCCTTCTTTCAAATTAAAGCTCTTGATAATAGCATGGGAGAGTTGGAGGGAATGGCAGAGATACTTCAAACATTATCTCACAGATAACTAAGATCCAGACAGAGGCCTCTTCATGGTTACCATAGCTTAGGCACCTCACCCTTCCCAAATCACTGTTTTCCGACTTACAATTTGAAGTCCTTTCCTAAGGCACCTCATCCATTCATACAACCTTTCCGCCCAAAACACAGCATAGTTTAAAAATTGCATACTTCATCTCCCAACACCTCCCATGATGGGCCTGCCTGGCAGCACAGATCTTTCCATGAAATTTAATTGTTGGGATTGCTGGAGTTTTGGTAGACAGGACAGATCAGGACCTGGATTGTCCCGTAGGGTAATCCAACAGGACCATGACTGCATCATGCTACCTTCTCACTGATGCCCCTGCCTGAAGGTATTTGGTCATTGGCAGTGGGTGAAATACTGGTAACATATGCTCTTTCTCAGACATAAATAATTTTGTAATTGCAAGTAAAATTATGCTGACAGGTGTATGTATATATCTGTGTATATATACATGTATGCATATACACACCACTACATAAACAGAAGTATATACAAGTACATTCTGCATTTTAATACTGAAACCATAAATTTTCTTTTACCTTAATACCAGACGAACTTTATTCATCTCAATTTGTCAACCAAAACACAACAAATGCATCACATTTCTTCAATTGTTCCTATTCCCTGAAGTCATTTCCTCCTCTGGTGCTTTTCCTTCCAAATCCCCATCCAACTTTGACTTTCATCCTCAATAGAATTGTCTACCCTCCCTGTTATTGTCTCTACGCCCTAGGAGTCCCGATTCCCCTTTGAGAGTTCAGACAATTGCTGGTATAATCAGTAGTTTGGTAAGATGACAAGAGATGTGGCCATGGAATTTAGCCAGAGGTAGATGACAAGGGAGGATACTGCTATGGTAAGTTCAAAGAACTGTGCCATAATCAACAATGGACACCAGCTACTCAGGCAGAAGGGGGTTCACAGACCTTAGATGAACAGCCTTGTTTGAGGGAAGCATCCAGACATCTGTGTCAGATGATCAGTTATTTGCACAGGAAGTGACAAATCTGTGAACCCTCTTATATTGGTCAGGCTTAGGGAGCACGCAGAGAAGCAGTGAGTGGAATTTGGTAAAGACTGGCAGTTAGAAGAACAGATGAATTATGTCTGAGACAGTTTGAAGTGTGAGACCCCCATTTCTACCGGCTTCAAGTAATTCTGAATTCTTGCAGTTTCACCTGTGGCCTCTCGCCACTGACAGCTGGGATTGCTATTTTCATTTTGAAATTCAGCTGTTCCTTTGCCAGTCTTGACACATTTTAAGCATGTACAGAAGCATGACTCATGGTACTCTCCAAAGGCCAAAGCACTTTAGTGTTCCATTCAATTCGCTCTCAGCTTCCTGATCTACTGGATACTCTCAGACCCAGATGCGAGATGAAGACCACAGGCAAATTTGAGAATCAGGAATTCAGCCAAGACATTTGGCAAAAAATTCTGGAGCCCACGAGAGGCCTGAGGGACAAGGAAAGGAGATTAAAGATCTAACTGCCAAGGTTTAACTTAATCTAAAAGAGCCTATTGATTAGATAGCACCCTTCTCTTCCATTAATAAGTGGGAACTAAAATGTTTGCAACTCCTGATTTGCTCTGAGACTGGGATCTCAGAGAGGAGAGAGGGATGGCTATTGAGATGCAGGTGTTAGAAGAGAGTGTAATCTCATCAGTCTGCTCATTAATTTCTATTAAAACACACACCAGCAAGACAAACTTTTGCACTAAATAATTGTGGCTTTATTTTTCTTTCACAAAATACAAAGTTTTGCACCACATTATAGTAGTGTTCCAACAGGAGAAAAATCCCAAGGCGTTCACTGGGAGGACTATACAATGCCGATTTTTATCATTCTTAATATTAAAACTGTCATGACAAAGTATGCTGACCATATAGAACATGCAGATTATTGCTTAGAACTTGCATATAGTTTAAAATGGCACACGTACAAAGTATATAAACATTTCAAATTTTTAGTGAAAGTACGGAAAAGACATTCATTACCCCTTCAAACAAGCACAACCCAAAACCAACATAAAAGATATTAAATTGCATTTTAATTGCTATGTCTTAGTAACACTGATTTATAAATTATCTGGTCTTATGCTTCATAAATAAAACAAAATTCTTCTGTCTTATGGAAATAAGTATGTTCTCAAATTCTTAAGTATATTTTGAGAGGCTTAAAAAATCTTTATGACAATATTATGTATTATAGTCTCAGAAAAAAATTTGTACATACCACTATAGCTGATGCATGTGCTGTAGTTTTTTAGTAGCTTTTTCAAATAAAATCTATGTCTAAATGTTATTACAAATTCAAACAATTCAAAAATGTCATAATTTATCCTAGTTTTAAGAGTATATACATGAGAATTCCTTAAGCAAAAAGCAGATACATTCTCACAGAAATAAACCAAGCAAGAAACAAACACAGCAAATTTTATTTACAGCTATATTTTTAGGTTTCATTAACCAAGAAGTAGCAAATGACTATAATGCATAATTATAGAACTGCATAAAAACACAAAGAAAAAAAAGATATCTAACAAGTTTCCAGCCAGAGGTATAATGCTTATAAATCTGAGATTTAGAAATATTTCTCATTGCTTTTGGTCTTGTGTATAGGGCCTGATATGAAGACTGTCTGCTGTTCAAAGTGAATAAATGTAAACATTTTCAACACAAACACACCAATCTTCAGGAGCTGCCTACTGCGATCCAAAACATCCCCCCCAATTAAGGGGTGGCATGCTATCACATACATAGGAGTTGAAGTCCAGACCAGAAAGATAATCGGGCTCAACTCCTGTTTTGTACTCTGGGAAACACCAAATAATTCATTAGCTATTAAGTTTGTTTTTAAAGAAACATGACTATAACAAGGTCTATTCTGCTGAAAGCAGGACTCTAAAATAATTCTCCCACAAGCCAGACTGCTCCCCTTCCCTACCCCCTCATCAAAACAGTTCAATTTTCACTGCTGTCATGGGGGCTAAAAAGAACATTCATATAATTAACATGCCTACAGTAAATCTCCAGCTGAAACACTTTATAAAACTCTTATTGCTAAACCAGTTTAAGAAAAAGAAATTACAGATGTTTCTTAATAAAACCATAATTAGCTTTGCTTCATGTTGTAAACAGGTATTATTAAATGCTGACTGGCTTCCCGTAGCTTCTTAATAAATTGTGGTTTGTGTGATCTTTATTTAAACTTACAATGCTTGTTTCAATGAGAGAAGCTATTTGTAAACTTTGAAACTTGGACAAGAGATTGTGAAACTTATGGATGTCTAGGGCGGTCTCAGAAGGTGATAAACGTGCTGGTTTAAGGATGGGGGTTACTGAAGTTCAAGGGGCATTGGAGGGAAGAAGAGGACAGGTTGGGTGGGTCTGGAGAGAAAACTCTAGATGGAGGGAAAAGCATTATTTTTGAAAGGAAAAGAAATCTTGCTGTCTCTTCCAACTCTAAGTCCTGGGGGCTTTGCTAATTCCTGCACATACCACATGCATTTTGCATCAGTTTGCTTCCCATAGCGCGAGCATAAACCAGCTGTAGTTAAGGCTGGGAGGTGTGTGTGCAGTTTCTTCACACAGGAAGGCTCTCACTGGTGTGTTGGCTCACACCTGCTGAAATACACTGTGTTGCTCTTCTGATAAAATATTTGCTTCTGATGGAATCCAAAAACATAAAAAAATGCATAAGCTTTTTATGAACTATTGATGTCCCACAGCAACGTGGGCTTTGCAATTTCACAAAACACTAAGCCACTGGAAGCCAATTAATGCAAACAAATCAATCTTCAAGTTGCATATTTATATATTTGGCGTTATCAGCAATGTGGAAACCAATGTATTCAGATATTTTAATAGGGTCACTTGGAACACGGTTATTTCCTTTTAAAAAAATGAAAGAAGCGATGCATGGTGGCGCACACCTTTAGTCCCAGCACTCGGGAGGCAGAGGCAGGCAGATCTCTGTGAGTTCAAGGCCAGCCTGGTCTACATAGTGAGTTCCAGGACAGCTGGGGCTACAGGGAGACCCTGTCTCAAAAAGACCAAAAAAAAAAAAAAAAAAAAAAAAAAGAGAGAGAGAAAGAAATGCATGCACTATGACCACCACTTTTCCCTTTGTGTCTAACAATGTGCCTAACAAATGCCACCAGCAATCAACCTTAATTCTCAAACCAGAGAACTTGTTGCCAAATGCCCAGTGTGCCTCAGAAGAAGTACACATCTAAAAAGTGAAACTTGGAGTCAAATTACTAAAATTTAGGAAAAAATCTCATTCAAATACCTATAAATTAGGCAGTTTTAAAAATTAGTCCCTTATGGACTGAGTTTATCCATAATATAGCAAAGTGGCTCTTAGAGATGATAAAGATATGCTATTATTTCTCTTAACATAGGGCTTGTCTATGAAATAACAAAATAACAATGGGAATAAAAACTTGATATCAACATACCATAGGATACTTTAAGCTTGAGTTAATTTCTTTGCATGCATATGTAACGGCGTTTTGAATTTTAAATAAATGCAAACAATCTTTTAAATGATTTTGAAACAAGAATGCAAACTCTAAAAAATCAAGTTCAAAATTGCTTTAATTCTCACAAATAAAATATTGAATGCAAGATCTATGATCAAGTATGGTATTAGTTAATTTTCACTCATTTTTCAGTTTCACAAGAACTTTTATTTTCTAGAATACTACATATTCAGATTATCACTAACCTTTTCTAGAAAAATAGAATTGCTTAAAAATTTATACCAATTTGCTTTTATTTTCTATAAATATTTTCAGAGTTCTTAAATATCAGAATGCCTAATAGACTCACGAATGTAAATTAGTCCATATAGCCAAAATACTTAATATCTAAAATAACTACCAAAATTTGTCATTCGATAAATGAAAATTTCATTGTTCAAGAAATATGTTCTGTCTTTATTTGCATTTTAGGTTGATAAATATAACCACAGAAGAGCAAAACACAGCTCCTGCGAAGGCCTGACTTGAAGCAGCACGGCAGTCTGGGGGTTATTCCCACTGCTTTTCTCCTGTATGAAGAAATGTGTAAAACCTACTTTGGGATACTGTATCTGATCTGATAAGAACTGCTGGCTAAGGGAATGACAAATCTTGGTCTGACAGTTTGATATTCTGAATACGCTTGTTTGGTGAGCAGCTACACGAATCAATGAAAAGTGACACTGATGAAGTATAAATGAAAAGGTACAGGAGACGCACGCGGCTCTCTACTCCGCATTCAGTGGTGAGTTTAGAAACTGTTCAGAGCTGTAGCAATATCGAAAAGTCAAAAATATTTATTTCAAGGTTTATTTCTTTTTTAGTGAATTTCTAAAATAGTTTTATAATATAAATTTTTTCCTTGCTTTTTTTTTTTAAAGCCCACTTTTCTTGCCCAAAAGCCAAGAACAATATAAAGTCAGTTGTATTCCTAGACCTTCACCCTTCAGACAAACAATACGTATTTGACAGCCTATGATGTGGACACAGCAATACATTTAGCAAGCAATTACCAATGTAATATTATCTACTTTAAAAACAAATTCCTATCTTTTACATTATCTTTCAAAAAATAAATGTACCTAGTATAAGCCAAGAAACTTTATTTTATCCCTTAGTTGACTGAAATTTCAATTCTCATCTTTAACCATACTAGGATTTCTCAGACTCTACCTCTATTGGACAATTAAATTAAACTACATTCTATTAAAAGTCTTGATTACATTCATTTAGCTTCCTTTCGCCATCATATGATAAACAGTGAAAGAAAAAGCATTCTCTTTCAAACTGAGAATCTGAATGGATTAGATCTTTTGGTTTAGGTTCAACTAAGTTCAAGTATTTACCACTAGTTGAATTAAATCTCTCTTTTTCTTAAGAACAATCATCAAGTCAAGTACTTCAGAAAAATAAATAAAGGCAATAGCTAAATATATAATTCTATATTTGGATTGCAAGAATCAAAGCAAAAGTAAACACATACATAACAAAATCAGTCACTTATCTTCTTCACACAGGATAATTTTGATAATCAGAATACTTGGGTTAAATCACCTTATTTCCTGCCTTTTCTTTACATGGACTAATACAAAGACCGGCAAGCAAGCCTGAGTAGAAACTGTGAACAAAATATAAATACTGATTTTTTTTTTTTTTTTTTTTTGCAGTTTTGGTCTCACCCAAAAGAGGCCTATCTTACCATGACAAACACTGGTACTGATGGTGTCAGGTTCTGAACTTGGAAGATTTTGCAAGAAATGTATTTTTCATAGAAAAAGTAGAAAGGCAGCGGAGGGGATGACAGTGTTGAAGACATTTTCCTAATGATTCCTCCTATTAGCCTATGTAGGCATCTATCAGCATGCATTTTTTAGAAGACATTCATTCCTTAGGAATGTCGTCCATAAGATCTGTATTAATCCTTGCCTTACTAGAAAATAAAAAAGTAATTGGATAAAGTGCTAAAAATAGAATAAAGTGACATCAGAAAAACATTGTAAAATACAGGAAGGATTTTCCATGATATTCTCAAAGTGAGTAAAATACTTCATTGTTAATAGATGCTTGTGTATCATGAAAAATATGTCACTTCTAATAGCCTAGGAAAAAGGACATGTCAACAATTTAGAAATTAAACACAACACATCACAGGCATTGACATTAGAAAAGAATGTAGCACAACAAAATGTTGAGCTTTTTATAGATTTTGAAGTAGTTCTCATTCCTTCAACAAAATGGGTGGCACAACAAGGGTACCAGATCACCAGTCATTCTTCCACAGAGAAAAATCCCCATGTAGGCTAACAGAGTTCTGAAGTTTCACCACTCTACTTACAACTTTTATTTAAACCTTTAAATTTTTATCCATGCTTATAATGCAGAAGGAAAGAAGAAATCTTAGAATGAAAACCAAATTTTATTTTCTCTTTTCTAAGGGTTAAAAAAAGAGAAACCACTGAAACCCTGAAGAACAATTATAATTAATAAAGAAGCACAAGAACATGCCAAGAATTCACCCTATTAGTAGATATGATGTGGGTAGTAATAAAGACTGCTTATTTAGACAACTGTTTTGACAAAGCACACCTTTAATCAAGTTTTCCATTCTGAAGGCTATTTTTGGCTTTCTCTTGTCTGATGAGAGAGATGACCTTGATGCATCCTTTTGTAATTTTGATCATCCACATGACATTCATCACATCCAAAACAATACAAGTAGAGATCCAGGCATACTGGATGATGGGCCCGAGCCTCATGTAGGGTTCTGTTCCATAAACAGAATACATGAAGAAATACAAAGGAGGTATTGAAACAATCCGCACAATGAAAAATACCACTGTCATGAGTATTCCATTGATGACATTGGCTTTGGAAAACTTGGGGTACTTCAGGGCTTCAAAGAACCATCTGAAAAGAGAATCAAACCTCACATTTATTCTGCAACTCTGAGAATCAGCAATCTTAACCTTAACATTTATAGAACTCAAGGAACATCTCTTTACGGTTTATATGAAGGGGTTGGGGAGATGGCTCAGTAGATAAACTGCTTTCTATGCAAGCATGAGGACTGAGCTCGGATCTCCAGCACCCATGTAAAAACAGCCAGGTATGGCAGTGTATATACGTTACCCCAGTACGGGGGGGGGGGGGAGGCACAGGCACACACAGGTGTACATGCACCAACACCCACACAACAAAGTTTATATGAAGAGGCAAACACAGTACTGAAAAAGAACAGCTGGAGGACTCATACTACCTATGTTCAGGATATTACTATAAAGGTACATAATCAAGATGGCATGGCATTGGTGGAATAAAACTAATGCTACAGAATAGGAAGCTCTGAACAGATACACACAAATATACTCAACTGATTCTAAAAAGTATTATTTTATTTTATGTGTCTGAGTGTATTGCCTGCATGTATGTAAGTGTACCTGTGTCGTGCAGTGCCCACATGTCTTCTGACCTCTGCAGGCACTGCACAACATCGGTGCACTTATATACATGCAGACAATACACTCATACACATAAAATAAAAATAATTTTTAAAAAAGAATATTTAACTTGTATGTCTCTTATGGCCGCTCTACTTAACAGTATAGATGCTGAGGTTAGTTCAGCAGTCCAAGAAGAGGTAATAGGTTAAAGCACCACCAGACAGATGGAGAAGAGGTGGCAGAGAAATAAATATGAGGAAATGACATGCTAAGATCTGACAAGGTACCAATTATGTGTGAAGGAGAAACAGTCAAGATGATTCCCATATGTTAAGCAAGGGTAACTCAGTAGACTGAGTCTCTGGGTCACAGGATCATGGGAATGAATGCAGGGAGGCACTATGATTTTAGATGTATTACTTCTGATATCTTACCTGAGAGAAGGGAGTTAGAAGTGGACAATACTCAATATACTCTTTTTATAGGGAATACAACTGTAGTACAGGGATAACGTGTTCAGGGTCATGGCCAGTATGTCAAAGTTGAATTGGAGAGAAGGGAGTTAGAAGTGGACAATACTCAATATACTCTTTTTATAGGGACCAACTGTAGTACAGGGATAACGTGTTCAGGGTCATGGTCAGTATGTCAAAGTTGAATTACAACTTGGGTTTGTCTTCTCCACAAACTCCTATATAGTCCATTACACTAAGATAAGCAGTGGGTAAGGGCTGAAATCTTGAGAGGGAAGAACTCAGGGAAAAGTATAGAGACAATCAGGGGGCTGAGAAGAGAGCTCTGAGGACCATTAGCACTTAGAGATCTGCTTCATGCAAACTGGAAGCAGATGGCCAGAGGGAAGCAGGAGAACCAGGTGAGTGTGGATCATGAAGCAAGGAGGCCCAGCATCGGAAAGGTGTGGTCAGCACAATCAGGTCCACAGACAGATGCAACAAGAAATGAAAGGAAATTCACTAATTTTGCAACTGGAAGCTATTGGCACCTTTGGTTAAACTGCTCTGGTAAAATGGTAGATGAAGAACCTAATTATAATGAATGAACAGCAGAGAAGTGACAAGATAGAGAAAGCAAAGGTAAGCGTCTGGGGTTTGCTAAATTTTAACGTAATGAACACATACTAGAATGAGTTGTCACTGAATAACAAGCATTACACACATTAATCCCACCTAATCTTCCTAACTGTGAGGTCTTCCGTAATTACTGGCCTGTGTTATAGGGTAAAAAACAGAAGCTCAGAGAGTTTAAGTCACTCTCCTTACATGATGTAAGGATCGATCAGAATCCAGGATTCTCCACTTAGAACATGCTCTTTCATCTATATCTATGTTTTCACATTATCAGAGTCTCTGAACAGTGTAAAAAAATTTTTTTTTTGAGACAGGAGCTCATATAGCCCAGGCTGGCCTGGAACTCACTACGTAGTTAAGGATAAACTTCAACTCCTCATTCTCCTACCTCCATCTCCCAAGAAATGGGATTAAGGATGTGTATGACTATGTCCAGCATCAAGAAACCATTTCTGAAAAAAGTATAAATGGCCTTAAACCCAATGAATAGATTATCTTCATGTAGAAAAGTAGTGGAAATGCCAACTTTCTCTTTACTTAGAAAAAAACAACCAAAACACAAAACAAAACAAAAAGATGATCCAAGCTAATCGCCTGTAAACATAATATCAGACCTCCTGAAAAGTAGATTAAATGTATTTATAGCAGGAGAGCCTTCATATATAGGATACTTTTAGAAGAATAGACCTAGTCTAGGACTGCTTATGGCACACAACTCAGGAAGGTATAAATATGGTCTCTGACCCTGTTGGGGATGCCACAGAAGCTGGGTAACTATGAGAATTAAGTGGTGATGTTTTTATAACAGGAAAGCTCTTCTTATGTCAATGATATGAACCACATACATGACTTTGAGATCTCTCAGGTAATCCAGAGTGTGTCTGATACAGAAAAGATGTAGGAGTCATCTCCATGGTCCCGGGCTTCTCCCTGCTATGCTTATGCCTCATAGTCACCAGTGTCCTTGATTTCATTCATAGGCTAGGACTCCTATATCTTTTCTGCATCAGATATACTCTGGATTACTTGTGAGGTCTCTAATGTAGAACCATAGATTTGGAGAGAAAGGGATGGCTCAACAGTTCAAGAATCAGCAGACCTTGTTAAATGAAGTAAGGTAACAATATATTCATCAATAAACAGGGACAGCTTTTCTACCTTCAGACTTTGGGGATGAGGAACTCAGGGTCAGAAACAGAACTGGACTCAAGATGAGCCAGATGGTGTTTGTTCTGAAGAGCTACTCTGAATCCTGAGACTTGTGAACACAGTTCATCTTACACTACTCAGTATCAAGGGTAAAATAATGCTGTGAACCAGTCAGAATAAAGCACAGGTGTATTGCAGAGGGCTGGGCTCAAAAGGCAGCTTGTGTAAGTTACTGGAACCTAAAGGTAGCTTGTGTAAGTGGAACCCAAGGCCCACTTTACTCATTTGCACAATGGTGACAATAATTCATATCACATATTCTTGGTTTTTATATAAAAGAACAGTCTCTTGGAGAAAAGCTTTCTCAAACTAAAAATAAACAACACAACTTTAAGATAATCAATGGCATGAGTAACTTACCGCTGATTCACAAAAGGGCTGGAAAGCTCTGCAAGCAGGCGAAAATTGGCAATGTATGCAAGCACTCCATCTTTCTGGATGATAAACAGAAACACAATATCAGGGATAACATTCTTATTACAATTACAAATACTCTAGAAATAGCCAATAGCTCCAAGGTATAATTGAACAATATTAAAACAGACCAGGAAGTTTTCCACCTTTCATTATAAAAATGATTTTCTCAGACTGCTGGACAAAAAACAATCCCATGGTAGCATAAATTTCAAAAGTTGAGAAGTTCTATAATGAACACCTATGGGCACTCATTTTAACATATATAGGATACAAAAGTGCTTTGATATTGCAAAAGTGTAATTATCCTAAGTCTGTGAACAGATACATAATTGCCAAATGCAACAACATTCCAAATCTCATCTATAACAGTTAATCTAAAATAGGTATCTGCTGATCAGAGAATCCCAGAGCTAAAATGCATACACACATTTGAGATTTATATTATACCTAGTATCTTCTAAGTACCAATTTAATAAGTAGGAAAAACAGCAGAGTATAACAAACATTAGAAATAAAATTCTTGGAATTGTATTTAATGTACTTTTTTTAAAAAACCATGAAGTGGACTGGTGAGATGGCTCAATGGGTAAAGGCACTTTGCCACCGGAACTGAGGACCTTAGTTCATTCCCTAGATCCCACACGGTAGAAGGAGAACCAACTCCTGCAAATTGTTCTCTGACCTCCACACATGTGGCACACTGTGGCACACACACTTGCACAAGCGTAAGTGTAATTTTAAAACTGTCCAGAGGTAAATGGAATCACCCTAACACTTCTGATCATATCAGAGTTATAATACATCATGGAAAACAGTCTGACCTATCTCTAATCCATTAGATGCACACAAAACTTGGTCAACAATTTTTCTACTAGATATAGCATGCTAAATTGAAACAACATAAAGCATTTAAAAAGGAGGGTTTTTTTATTTGAAGATTTTACTACTTATCCACATAATCATTTTAGGAATTTAAAATTCAGAGCTTGACTACAAGCTAATTTTTATTTTTTCTTTAGTGACACTGAAATGTATTGCTGAGTAAGAAGTTGTGGGGAAGCGTTAGCCAGAGAGAGTAAACCAACAGGCAAGCTAAGCTGTGTGTGCACAAGAAGAGCCAACTTGTTAACGATCACCCAGGACATTGCCAAACCTAAAACAGCAATGTGCTGGAAATCATGACATGTGGTTTTATTACTTTAACACAGAGGCAGACGCAGGTGGATCTCTGTGATTTCAGCCTGGTCTACATAGTGAGCTACAAGGAGATCCTGTCTCAAAAAGACCAAAAAAAAGGGGGGAGGTACTAATTAAATGTATTATCTACATTGAATTTTTAAAGCTGGTCTTTTTCTATCCCATGATATACCAGGATTTTTTATTTTCTGTTTCCTTCTTCAATGACTGTTCTTCATTCCCAGTGACACTCTTTGCAACTTAAGGGAATCCTTTTCTTGATTACAGTATGTAAAGGAATTGCAATCAAAAATTAAACTCATTTTGACTGGCATTCTGCTCCTCAGCTTACCTTGTGCCAGTTGCTGGTATCAATTCACTATGATGAGCCCAAGTTACATATTCTCCCAACAAAGATGTTCAGGTAAAGAATGCCTGGATTTTATTGTAACAGCAGGCATTCAGAATTATAAAAAGTTTCTAGTTCCCCAGAAATGTCTACCCACTTTCTATCTAAAATCTTGTTTTAGTAGACCAGCTTTTGTCAGTTAAGTTCCTTGGTAGTAGAAATTCATCACTTATGCTATACTTATGTCTAAAACAGACATCAAGATTATATACTCAAGGTATACTGAATTCCCAATAAGTTATAATAAAGAGTCCTGCTTAATGTAGCAACCATTTACTAATAAGTTTTGTTGTTTTTTGAGACAGGGTCTCATGTAGTCCATGTAGATCTTGAATTCACCATGTAGCTGAGATGACTCTGAACTCCTAATCTTCCTGCCTCCATCACGCCTAATGTGATGTGGTGCTGGAGATCAAACCCAGAGCCTGTGCACAGTAAGCGAGAGCCCTACCAACACAGCTATGTCCTCAGCCCTATCTGAATCAGTTTATGACATCTTTATCACTCTTTCATGGATTTTTTTGGTTTTGCTTTTCACAGTACTGGGGATTAAACTCAGGGCCTTGTGCATGCTAGGCAAGCACTCTAACACAGCCACATTTCTAGTCCCTAGTTTAATTTCAGTTTTGAAGTCGTCATATTTCCAAAAACTGAGTAATTGCTTCATTATATGAGTTTTTCCTGCAACCAGCACATAACTTCAAATAACTCAGGTACCTCCTTTGGTAAGCTCCTTATGTCCTCCCCAAAGATCATCAAACAGTTCTGAGAAACTTCTCATAAATGTGGCGCTTATTGCAGTCCTCCATTCTTGTCCTCATCTTATTTCCAAATTAAAGTTGGATACTCTCATCCCAACTCAGAAAATATGCATTTATGGCATGCTGACTTCTCAGCGCCTTTTCGGGGCCAGCAGCAGTCATGGACGTGTTAAAGGCATGTGTCTTCTGAGGCTAGCCCTTGTCCCCACCAAGTTAAATTAAAACAAGAAAAACCAGACATTAAAGTGGTTCTACAGGTTGGGAAGACATTTAAAAAGGATCAAATACTTTATAAAATTATCAGTATCAGGGGCAGGAGAGATGGTTCTGCGGTTAAGAGCACTGGCCGCTCTCATGGAGTACCCGAGTTCGATTCCCAGCACCCACATGGCACCTAACAACTAGTTCCAGGGGATGCAACACCCTCTTTTGATCCCTGTGGGCATTGCACAGCATGGGTGCACTTACATACATAGCAGGCAATACATTCATACACAAAAAATAAAAATAATCCTCAATGCTGGGTGTGGTGGGACACGCCTGTAGTCCCAGCACTTGGGAGGCAAAGGCAGGCAGATCTCTGTGAGTTCAAGGCCAGCCTGGTCTACATAGT